CTGACCAAGGTCACCTTCGCCCCCCCCCCCTGCCCCCCCGTACCACCCCTTCTCCTCTATCTTTATGTGACATAGCTGCAGCTGTCAGTTATTATAATATTCTTCATCTGCCAGCTGATGAATTCAGTCAAAACAGCCCGGTTCTTCTTCTTCTGAATGAACTGCAGGGGGAAATGTGAATGGATAGTGTGACACACTGCATCTCTGTGGAGCCTCTGGCTAATGAACAACTTGGAGGCCCGTGCACTGACCCAAACATAAAGCTGGAGGAAAAAAACAAAACAACAAATCTAAATAAGAAACCGTTCAAACATTAGCCTGAGGTAAGCAGTGGATTTGAATGTAATACATGAGCACAGGTGTGTGTGCTATATTCAAATAGACTGTATTTACAGAATGCATGTGTGTGAATGTATATGAGCGTGAACCTGGCAGAGAACATACTGTTGTCAAACATTAACAGTTTCCACTCTGGCTGTTCTCTTTAGTCTCTGGACAGAAATGGTTCCGTTTGACTGAGCGTCTTAACGTCATCATTTTCAGGAGCATCACTCACGCTTCATTATCCTCCGTGAACCTTTTTACACTTAGTGGCAGCAGTCAAATGGGTTAGTGGTGAAAACCTTTCAGTGCGTTTTAGTGAAAGACTAGAGTTTATGTCATTGGTTAATGATTCTGGATTCAGGTTTAGGGGTTATTTCTTTTCTTTTTTTAAACTCAATTTTACTGATACACCGGTGGACTCAGGGTTCCTGTCTGTAGGTGGACGTTATATTTATAGAAGGTCCACTGACTCAACATGAGACCTTGGAGCATTACAGCAAAGACAAAAGCACCGGGCCCTCTGAGGCTGGTGCTCTTTCTCTCTGCTCTGCCTCCTTTACCCCTGAGCAACTACACAGCTATCAGCAATACACACACACACACACACACACACACACACACACACAGTCACCCTGTTAACATGAGGATGTGCACACACCTAGACACACAAACAGCTCCTCCCAGGAAACTTCTACGTGGTGTTGAAAACATGAAAGAGACGTTTCCACATGAAGACACAGAGACTCTGTCCTTTCCCTTCCTGTGTCTGACATCATCATCAATACAGAAGCTAATTAAACATCAGTTCATAACGATCATATAAATATGATCTGTTGCATTCAGATGTGTTAAAGAAACACAATCTGCATCAAGGAAGTGTTTTAGGAGATGAGTATTTTTTCATTCGCTGCAGTGCATGCTGGTCTTTGCGGTTAGCAAAAGTGGTCGATAAAGATGTGCCTTTACTGTGAACATGGGCTAATGAGACTATATGTATAACATGTGCTGTGATACCTGTGTTTGTCCGTGGTTCTGACCTGTGACTCTCTCTGCCCTCAGATTACTGCCCTCACTGTGGACGAGGTACAACCCTCAGAAATGATTCCTCATGAAGTCTGTGGAGCTCATTTTGTGAGCTGGAGAAACTCCGCCCTCTCTGGTATGAGATCTGCTGCCGTGTACAAGTGAAAGCGAAGCAACACAAGACTGAGTGAGTGCACAAAGAGGTCAGTCCTGCTGGAAACCACTGACACGAGAACAGGCCTCACAGAAGCCTCAAAGTCATAGTCAAGCGACCGGTGAATTAATGCTGGCACAATGAAATCCAACCAAGAGAGGAGTAATGGATGCCTACCTCCTAAGAAGCGTGAGATCCTGGCTCTGGAACAGAGACCAGTGATCGTGGCCTCGGCTACTCCTCCGGCAGCGGTGGTCACAGATAATCCGCATACAGAGAACTTAGCCTGGCTGGCAAGTGTGGCCACTGAGCGCTGCAAATCCAGGGATGAAGAGAGTCCAAAGTGTCTCATCTCGTCCTCCTCGTGCACCTCGGCACCTTCCTCCACCACCTCCCTCTCTGCAGTGCCTCTGGCCTCTCTGCCTGCAGTTTACAACACAGCCCTTCCCCAGCAGGCCGGCACCATCCAGCTCGCCCAGCTGGGTCCCAACGTTCAGTTTATTAGCTCGGGGCCCTACGCGGGCTACATCTCCTCTCACATCATCTCCACCAACGCCAGCACCATGCCCAACAGCTCCACCATAGTAGCCCAGCGGCCGCAGCTGGATGGCTACACCACGACCCTCGTCTCCCCCAGCACCAAAGGGGAGCAACAGTTTCAGATAGGCCTCTCCTCCACAGAGCTGACACCTGTGTCGTTACCAAGTTCTGCCCAGGTCACCGGCCAGTACATCCAGCTGGACAACAGAACACCTCTGACGGTCAGCGGAAGCGCCGTCACCTCCCCCGCGACTCACCTCCAGCTACAGTCCCATGCTGCGGTCCTCCCTCAAACACTTACACTCACTCCCTCCCAGCTGGTGGTTCAGTATGCAGATGGTTCAGTGGGGAAGAAGCCAGAGGGACACGTGAAGGGAATGGTGAACGGGGAACTAGAGCTAATGAAACAGCCGAAGGCTCTGGGTCATCCAGCGAACCATCAGCAGCTCCACAGCTATGAGGCCAGACATATCCTTCTGCCTGCAGACTACGGCCAGAACCCTGCTGGACTACAGACCTCACTGGTGCTGGTGGCCCAGCCCAACCACGGAGATGAACACGAAGTTGGATCCAATAAGATCTCACTAGTCCAGACTGACAAAGGCAGCATCTGCCTGGGAAAACCGGTGTCCAGAGCCTCCTCCTTCACCTCCCTCCCTACATCTGAGCTGGTGAAATCTGTTGCTCCTCACACGGTCATTCAGACCACTCTGGCCCACGAGGAGCTCCCGGCCAATCTCTATTCCTCCACCCAACCGCCCATCATCGGTTACATCACCAGTGCAAACCAGCACGCTGTTAGCTACCATGCTACCCTGCCGCAGCACCTGGTCATACCGAGCGGCCAGTCCCTCATCATCCCCGTCAGCGGTGCCAACAACGGCACAGAGATGGAGGTCAGTCGTACGGTCAGCGCCCTGACGGCCACTACTACGCCTCAGATATCCACGGCCATGCCACACGCCTATCTGGCCACGGCTCTGTCCAAGTGTGAGGCACTCGCAATGGATGGAAATCACATCATCCCCACCGTTCCACAGGCTCCAGTGGTCCCAGTGCTCCCCTCCATCTCAGCTCCAGTTGTGGTGGAAGCTCCGTCCCCAGCTCCATCCCCTGTACCAGCACCAGCACCAGTGTCCATCCAGCCTCCCCCTCCTATTTCCTCCTCCTCGTCCCCCGTGGCTCTTCCACCTTTCTTCATGCGAGGCTCCATAATCCAGCTGGCTGACGGTGAGCTGAAGCGCGTGGAGGACCTGAAGACGGAGGACTTCATCCAGAGTGCTGAGATCAGCAGTGAACTGAAGATCGACTCCAGCACCGTTGAACGGATCGACAGCGGACAAACTCCAAACGTCGTTGTTATTCAGTTTTCTGTGGGGGAGCTCAAAGCCCAGGTGAGATCTCACTGCAATACACATGTTATTAGATGATAATTACACTCCCAGGTCACATGCTGTCTTCTAGAATCTGCCTTAAAATGAAATGCTTAGCCTCAGGAAAAACATGTCTGAGTGGAGAAAGTGGAAGAAAATCAAAGACAAAATGAAGTTGGCACGGTGTTCGGTGGAACATGTTGAATTTTGAACAGATTTTTGAATCATATTGAAAACTCTGCCTGTCTTTTTACTTAATTTAAGAATTAATTTTGAAGTCTAGTTATCTAGTAATAGGTTTAGCTAGTTTTCAATTAACCATTAGCTTTTTCTTTGCTAACCATTAGACACCCCACCCTGAAGTTGCCTGTAGTTCCCAGGTCACATACTGTTAATTCCAATCATGGATAAATTAATGTGGAACAACGTCTACTCTTTACACCAGGGTTGTCAAACATGGGGCCCAAAATTAATGTGGAACAACGTCTACTCACGTCTACTACACCAGGGTTGTCAAACATGGGGCCCGTGGGCCAAAACCGGCCCGCTAGGATATTCAATTCATTTGATGAATTTTGAAAATGCTCAATGAAAAAAAAAAATACACAAACACTTCTAACTCTCCTGAGTCCTAAATCCTTAGTCAGACTGACTGTTGCGGTACACTAACTGTACTTCTGTTCCGCTCCAGGTGTGTGTGGAGGTGTTGGTGGAGTACCCCTTCTTTGTCTTTGGTCAGGGCTGGTCTTCCTGCTGTCCAGATCGCACCACCCAACTCTTTGAACTGTCCTGTGCTAAACTGTGCGTGGGGGACGTGTGCGTGTCCCTCACCCTTCGAGGACTGAGGAACGGCATGGCGACGGACACCCAAGTTTTTGGGACTAAAATGAAGACCAGTCCCCAGAACGACTCCTGTCACGGTGTGGACATCTCTGTGAGACACAGTGCCAGTCCCGACACCGCAGGCAGTAACAGCAGCCTCCTAATGAAGGCTTCCAGCTCGGACAGGCAGGAGAGAAAACAACCAGGACTGGAGTTACCATCGGGACTGGGACTTGTCTCTGGATCAGTGGAGATGATTTATGGAACTGGAACAATGTTGGCCATTTCCAGGAACGGGGAACCGAGACAAAACTCTGGAAACGCGGACATGCCTGCTCAAACGCAGACACAATGTGGCGATCATGAGAGACCCACAGTTCGCAAACGACGCTGGTCGGCTCCAGAGAGAGACCAGGCTGAGAAAGCGGACGACGAGCCTCCGATGACTCTGCCCAAACCCTCTTTTGTCCCTCAGGAGGTTAAAATCAGCATAGAGGGCCACTCCAATACGGGGAGTGACAGGTTCTACACCAGAAGAGTAGACTGTTAGAGACCTTTAATGAACCACCTGTGGTTTACTGCGTATACTCCACCCCCCCTCCCCCCCATCCAGACTACTGTAATATAGATGGAGTTTCCTCAGTATTTACAGGTTTTCTTTATCCTAAGTCTGAAATCTACAATGAAGTTTAATAGAGCACCTTCACAAGTGGCAACACACATGAGATCAGTGCAATCAATGCTGAAAGCAAAATGGAATGCAGCCCGAATGTTGAGTGTGAATGGAGGTCACGTGAGACGTTATCATTTGACATTTTGACCTTTTTTTTTCTGTTATACAAGCGAGCACGCGACCCAACATCAGCTTGAAGGAAGTGCGTTTACATGTTTGGATTCTGTTCATTTTGTAGTTTCCTGTTTTTCCCGGCAGTGACGTGTGGTTGATTTCTGCTGCCTCGTGAGTCTGGTTCCATTTCAGATGTGTGTGTTTGTGACTCCAAATGTACAGTACAGTACAGTACAGTACAGTACTGTGTGTGTAGTGTGTGTAGTTTCTGTGTTTTCTCTCTGTGTGGCTGTCAAACAGCGCAGGAGTCACGGGTGTAAACGTCTCGATACGCAGTACTTCGAACTAAAATTTTAAAAACTGTCTGAATGTAAATCATCGTCCTCGTCTCCAGTACTGACCTTTGGAACTTTGCGTGTGCTCTTTGCTACACCTTTGATAAGAATGCTGGGAATTTGGTACCAGTGATTTTGCAGTATGCTAAAGACGGTTGCACGTGGGTGCAATCCTCAGATGAATTTCCCGACTTGTCACCACGTAATGCAGTATGCAGGAATTTGGTGACGGCATATTCAAACACATAAATGTGTAACAGACTCCTTGTCCCCTGCAGGGGGTGCTCTGGAGTGGAGTGTCGTGATTGACCATCACTGGTTTATCGTTATCTAATCTGGTAACTGTAGTTTAAGGAGGTATTATGGGTTGTTCTGTATGCCTGTACTTCATCCGTCTACTGCATCGTCTTTGGCTTTAATGCAGCGTCTGTTTTCCACTGGTAAACATTATCACACAGCAACGCCTCAGCCACTTGAAAAAGAAAAAGCAATATCACAAAAAATACAGTCAGGGGGCAGTAATGCTGCAGCTAAATACACAACCATACACTTCTAGTGTCCCATAAAAAATAAAGAAAAACAAAGTACTTTTTTATGAGCCTTTTGAATTGAGTTTATTTCCTGCGTACTGTTCTTTTAATTTTGACACTTTGTCCCGCTTCGTCTTAGTGAAACATTTCAAAGTCGACGTGTTTGTTTTTTACTATTGCAGTCATGTACAGCATTTAAAATACAAAGCAATTCTAATTCTAATACCTCTGAAAGACGACTTTCATTTAATCTAGTCAGGAAACAGAACCGAGCCGTTCCATATTGCGATTTACAGGCGATTCAGAAAATCACAGAGAAAAATGTTTCATAATCTTGGTTTGGCCTAACAAAAACGGCACTCGTCAAGAGCCATATTTTCTAAGGTCTCTCTAAAGGACGTGGATTCTCATCATTTTCAGGCCTTTTCTCTGTGGCAGCTAGAAATGATGTTTGACAGGAGCAGTGAACGCAAAGTAAAGAGTGTAGCAGTGGGCCATAAAAACCAAGATGAGCAAGAAATGCTTAACAGTCGGGTCGCGGTGGCAGCAACTGTAGAGGTTGATGATAACTTTTCTACTGGTTGATCAGCTCTAACAACACATTCCACAGCCATCTGCCCCCATTGGCCACCTCGCTGTTTACTGTCAGTGAGCAAATTATCAAAGGCAAACAAAAAAAAGTCAAAGTACAATATTACAATCAACATTAAAATGGAAAAAAGTGACTTTACATTCGGCTTCATCCCAGTTCATTCGTTTTCATATGACGGCCTTAGATGCAGTGTACAATTTATTATAGCAGCACTTTTTTATTATTATTTTGGCAACACCTGTTTCATCAATGAAGGTCTGCAAACACCTGGTTTGTCACAGAAGAGTTGTGCTGTTCCAAATAAACCAACTCTCTTTCTGTTAGTGCATTTGTTTTTCAGAGTAGAGACAAAAATATATCCTACAGTTCATTCTCAGGAACATTGTATGTCAATGTTAATGTGCGTGTGTGTGCGTGTGTTCTGAGCAGCAGCACTTTGACAGAGCATCAGCAGGATTGTGTTGTTGTTAGTGGTGAGCCTGTGCATCAGCGAACAGATAAAAGGACAACTGTAGAGCGACTGTTTGTCGTCACACCTACAGGTCGACCATTGACAGGAAGTCCGCACCAGGACAGGGAATGTAAAACACATCGTGCAAACTATCTCCACTTTATTTTTGATGATCCATAGACCCTACTTTTCAGAGAAAGAAAGCTGTAGATTTGAAGCGGGCCGGTGAGTGTTGATCGTGTACAGCGAATTGTATTTTGGAGCGTGTACAGTGTGTGTGTAGATATACTAATCCTGATGTAGCTTCTGTACTGTATGTGCCACAGCGCCTCCTTCTTCAATCATTCCATTGACTCAGTAATATCACGTGGTTCTGCAGGCCTTATTCCTTTGGTCCAATTCAGGTGTTGATGCTGTTTTCCTGAATGTGCTACACTCCCTTGGTAACATGGTTCTACAACTTTTTACACCGCGTACCATCTCCCCAAAAAAAAAATCTGGGCTCTCCAAGTATCTCCAACATACATATACGGTGTACGCACTTGAAAATACACTCCAGATATTACCTAAATTAAAGAGCAGGTGGCAGTATATTACAGCAAGTCACATTGTACCTGTAGGAATCAAATCCCTCTGTGTGCCACTAGGAGGAGCCCAAGTGCCACCAGCATGACCGAGATATAAATACAACAGCACATGAAGAAGCACTACACTTGGCACTTCAGTCAAATAAAAAAAAACCAACACAAGTCCAAGTGTGACCATTGACAAGTAACAGCAAAAGCCCTGCATACCACTAGAGGGAGCCCAAGTGTACCATAGTTTGAACACCACAGATTGACATAATAAGAGCAAGATTTTGACTTGCACACTGTACATGTAAACATAATCAGCAGTCTGTTGTAATGACCTTTGACCTTTTGGATCCTCTTTTGTACACCCAGTAACTGACTGTTCTTTCTGTGTTTCACTGCTCAGGCTAAACCAGTGTTTCCCAAACACTGGGTCAGGGCCCTAAAGACAGGGCACAGAACTTTTTCCAGCCTTTTATTTAACACGTATGTGTGTATGTTTTTGTGTTGTGATGTCCTTATCTTGATGAAATAGCTATCTAAATATTTTAAAAACATATAAGGTGTCACATTAAAAGGCAGGGGTTTCTATCCAATCAGCCCGATCGGCTGCTCATGATTTATATTGTAAATCGAGTCGTTATGCCCCCCCCCCCCCCCCCCCCCCTTACAGCCACCACCACTGTAGGCAAACACTGGGCCGTGACTGTTCTCCTCTGACACTGGTGTCATATTGTCTTCACTGCTTCGGAGCAGAGTTAGTTTCATCACTTTGTCTTTGAAGCTGCTCATCTCTCTGTCAGCCTCACCTGTGATTTCCTACCTGCAAAATCAGAGTAACTGTTTTTTTTTCCAAATACAGACTTGAGAGAATGAAAAATGTCTGAGACTTGAACAATCAAGAGGTAGAGCATACAGGAAATATCCTCCCCTTCACTTCCTGTCCAGAGTTTGCTACATGAGGTTAGCTTGTAACAATAAACTCTTCTAAATTGATACAACATTTTGTTATTTTGATTAAGTAAAATCTAGCTTCCTCTTGGTTCCAATACTGCCCCCATTGGTAAATTTTAAAACTGGTAAACGTGTAACCATGTAATCCTGTTTTCTAGATTCCTGCATGCTCTACCTTCAACAGAAAAGGTAATGTTACTTATATTTCCCCTTGTTTATCACCTTATAAAAGCTTCTTTGTGACACTGAGTCTCATGACCGTTTGTCCCTAAAAACAAAACTGGAAAAAGAATGAAAAGTATTAAAAATGTGGGCTGAAATAACCCTGAAATGACAATCCACTGTTTAAACCAAAATGTCACCTAAGTGGGGTAAAAAAAGAAAGAAAAAACAGTTTAAACAGCTTGTCTTATATTTCTTTCATAGTCACTACAAACTCAGTCTGAGCCGAACGGTGTGTGGTCACAGTGAAAACACCAGAGACTCTAAGCTACACTCATTTATTTCAATTCACAGCTACACCTTTGACAAACATGCCCTAAACTCAAATCGTAACGCGTGTATAAAGTGGATTATGATGAAAGCACCACCCTGTGGTGATCTGTGGAAATGCACTTTGAGATAAACTGTACTTGAACAGTCCACCTCAGAAGTTTGTAAATAGCCAGTCTTCCATCGAAATTGATCTTTTTTTCCCTGAATATAAACACTGACCCCCTCCTGCACCCCCGTGTACAGACCTTTGAATGAAGTTTGCTTTCTAGAACCATCATTTATTTAACAGAAGTACACCTCTGGCTTCGCCCTGAGTATTTTCCATTGCACTAGCTCAAAAATCGTGGGAGTAAAACAAAAGACTTAACTCGATATAAAAGTTTTTGTAACCTTGGGTCTGTTTGTTGGATTTTATTCTCGGCTGAGATACGATCTGTTCTACGTAAAGTATATAGTATCAATAAATGTTCCCTATTTTGACAGTGTTGAAGTTTGCTAGTCAGAAACTGTAAAATCTTTACTTCAAATGTTCGATTTCACATTTGATCAGATATATTCAAATAAATAAAGAATCGAAATAAAATTTTAAAAAAAATTAATGTTTTAATTTCCCCGAAAGCTGCCCAGAAGGAGAGAAAGTTTAATAGAACTTAATGAATATTTATCTGCTGCTCTGATCAATCTGAAACAGAAACGTTTTGTTTTTTTGCCCCATGTTCCTTTAGGAACTTCGTACTTAACAAATATAATAGTAACAAATATTTTAAATTATAGAAATGTTTTATGTAACATCTTAAAATGTTTAAACTCCATAAATATCATATAAACATCGCCACCAAGCAACTTTAAACATTTTTACCACAAGAGGACACTGTCGTCTTACTAATCCACATTTTACTGCTTTCCTTATTATACCGCTGCTACTTTGACGGTCTACCACAAGAGGGGGGAAGAGGTTCATTACTCAGGTGACCTCAACACAGGGATAAGTTTGGGAATGGACAAAAAGGAACAAAAAAAAAAAAAATCTGTGTAAAATCCTACAGTAAGAATATTAACAGTAATAGGAATGTGCCAGAGTAAAGTAGTAGTAGTAACGTAGGTTACAATACATGTTATTTCGTGATATGGGCTAATGCTTACCACTTTAATTAACAACATTGTGCGATAAGCGACGCTAACAAAGCATTTCATTATGTACATAAAACACAACAGTCGTGTAACAAGTAGAGAAAATGTGGCAATAACAGAAGAATCAACACTTTATTCTTATAAACCTTCACATTTGGTACAAAAAGAAAGAATTGTTTTAAACCTCGGCCACTGTTGAACGTTAACATCTGATTAACGAATGACTTTTAAACACATCGCCGTGCGCTAGGAACTGGCTCTACTTCATATCTTTGATAGCAACAGTTAGCCTTTAGCCAAATCCACTGTGACACATAGGACAGTAATAAGTTATTTATCTATTGGTCTTCTCCAGTCATTGGTCACTGGTTGATTTCACCTGATGATTTTATCAGACTCAACAGCTGCTTTTTCTCTAAATCCTAAAATGGAGTGTACCAAGTCACTGCTTATATACAGGAACAATGGAATCATTATGCTCTGTTAAAATAACACCAGTGTAAACAAGCCTCGTTATCACTCAACACCCAAATATTGCACATACATTCTTAAATATACACATTAACATTGTGCCTCGTGTTTATGCTTGTGGATGGATTTTTTTTAAACATGTATTTATGTGTGTGAAGTTATAACTGGTTACCAGGATAAAAACCAGGATAAATTAAATTATGTGAGGAAGGAATTCAGGAATTGAAGAAAAAGGATGACAAACCAGACACCTCACAAACACACACACACACACACACACACATACACACATACACGTTATGTACAGTACTGCTCACACACATTCCCAATGACCACCAGACAAACACACACGTCCTCACATCAGCATTTGTGCACAGAGCTCCTGTCTCAGGGCGTCCCACTGGCAGACACATGAAAATGCTCAGATCAGTGACACTGAACGCATTGTCTTCACAACAAAGTCTATTTGGTCGTCATCTGCGGCGCTCCATCACTGAGGATAAACAATGTGTGTATGTTATTCAGCCTGTTTTGATTGATTTTGGTCCAGTTCTGTTCGGTTTGAACCTTTCTCGTCGGTCCAAATCTGGTTGGTGCTGACGTCCCCAGTCCGTCTTCTGTCCGTCTGTCCTTTCAGTCAGTGACATTCGCAGAAAGGCAGAAAATTTCCATCCACAGAATGTAAGATCCAACTACCACAGATCTCAGATCTGTTTTCAGTTCATCAGAAGGTGCGCGTACCTCCCAAACCCCAGGCTCCACATTTTAGGCATCGCCTATTTGATCCGACGTCAGTTGCTCCTGGTCTGAGACATTATCATCTGATGGCGGCCGCGCCCGGTCAAAGAATCCACACTGAAGGAATCAAATAAATCCGTTAGCGAACAGTTACATATTGTAGCCAGTCGTACTAGCATGAAGCTAAATGTTCCTAAATTGAATCAATTTAACTTCATCAAGAAAAACAAATCGGCCGTTAACCTTCTGGCACAGCTGGATTTCTAAGAACAAGAACGCAGGTCAAACCTCAAGAAGAACAAAATGCTTCAACGCTAGCCAAAAAAACTCTGAGTTAAATAAATAATCTGGTTCCTCTGGTGTGTGTGTGTGTGTGTGTGTGTGTGTACCTTCCACATGGCCAGTGTTAGCACGGCCAGAACCAGCAGGCCCAGTAGTATGGCCAGAATGATGACCCAGAGTGGAACAGCGAATGAAACATCAGGAGTCCCCCACAGGACTAGCGTCCCCATCTACAGACCACACAGAGGGACAGGGACTTTAGGGACAGAGACAGTTTTAGTTGAACCTTCCGTCACTCTCCCCTTCATCTTACCGAGGTGCTGTGCTGAGGCAGAGTCAGTGTTTGGCCCTGGTAAGGCAAGGCCGTCACCATGTAGGACACGGTGGAGTTGAGGACGTACGGGTCGTTACGTCTCTGTGGGACACATGACAAAATATCCTCATGAAGAGGTGACGTTTACCCTGCACACGGCCGAACAGTTTAGGCAAAAGTAGCACGTTATTGTGGTTGTCAATGTGTAAGACCTGCCGCCCCTAGGGGCGCCAGAGCTCCATGATGGGGCCATGAAACGATGAAAAAGACAGGGTTGATGGACAACATTAAAATGAACAAGATCACATGAAAGGGAATGGATGGATTTGGTTCATGGTCAGTAAGAACAGGAAATAAGGTCCACGCAGGAAGACAGAGGAAGTGTGAGAATTATTGTGTTTTATTTTGATGGACTTATCTGTACATCAGGTTTGACCATTGTTTTCATTAAGGATGAAACTGATTTTGTGTGAATTTGTGTGTGTGGCTTTTGGGTGGGTTGAACAGAAGAACAGCAGTTTCAGGGACACTGAGTCTTTGAAATTCCAAGACAACTGAAAAGATTTAATTTTTTTTTTGGTAAATAAAAGTGTGTCATCTGTAGTGATTAGTGTTTTCATCAGCAAAGTTCTTTTCAGTAGAATGTTAGGGGTGAGTGGTGGCTGTCGGCCTCTGCCTCTGCCTCTGCCTCTGCCTCTGCCTCTCTCTGGTATTAGGTCGATCACTCACACCTGTGTCCTGTGCTCTCCTTGTCTCATTAGTCTCACTGCTCTCACCTGGTGTCCTGAGTATATATACACCTCTCTCC